ATCTGTTTTCCCCATGAGATGGCAAAGCTGAGAACTAGATTCTGGATTGTGGTGATCTCATTAAGGCATAGTTATGACCTGGCTTGAAACAGTCAGTTAACTGTATCTTAGTACAATCTCACTCCTTTTTCTCCTACTACCCCGTCCCCCACCTCAAGACTGTTAGATTCATATAATCACAAAATTTCATGATTGAAAGGGACTCTAGAGTTTATATAGTCCAACCATCTCATTTTGCAGATAAGGAAACTGAGGCACAGAGAGAAGTGCTCGGATCACTCAGCTAATTAGGTGGTGAACCAGAACTAGAATTCAGATTTCCATACCACTAGAACAGTGCACCTCCCATTACTTGGGGGCAGAAGGAACCGGCAGTATGAGTTACTTTGATGGACAAATTCATGCTTTAAAGAGCGTGACCAATGTGTTCACTTACACTGTAGCTGAAACTTATTGATACATAAGGCACCGACTCTTGGCAGCATTGAGATGATTTTTAATGGCACACTAGAGGGTATCAAAAAATAAGCAAAGTTTATCATTTGTGTCTGTCTACTTTCCTCTTTGCACACCATCATCACTACCACCACCATCACTTCATTCTACAAACATGCATTTAGCACTTAATTAAGATGAGAGGCAGTGTGGTGTAATTGACAATAGTGCTGGCTGGGAGTCAGAAAAAGTCAGAAAAACCTGGGTTTAAATCTTCTCTCTGATCATGGCTGAGTGGCCACGGGCAAATCACAAATTCCCTGATTTAGTTTCTTCCTCTGTAAAATAGGGATAATAAAACCAGTTGTGCCTACTTCAAGGGACTGTATTAATGAAATTAAATAATGAATGTAAAGTATCTGGCAAATTTTCAAGCATTTAAGCTATTAAGGCTTAAAATTGTACTAAGACTTTTGTAAAATACCCTGTATAAAGTGTTATTACATGTTGTGTGAAATCCTATATAGCTGTTCCAGGGAAGTAATGGTATGATCCATGTTCTCATAGAATTTATTTGCACAAGCTGGCATCCATTTACTTCCTAGTATCTTTGACTACCCTATCCTCTTCACTGTAACCTCCACTGTAACCTACCCTAACTATGTCTTCCCAACTTACCCATGTGACCTCTATTCCAAAATTACCCTCTCTCTGCTCAAATCAAAACTTTCATTCTAGCTAGGCATTAAGCAATTTTATGGAAGTAATTTGATTAGTGTAAATATATGGTATGAAGGACCTTTTGAAGGGCCAAAGCCCATTTAAAAAATGTGTGCTAATTAACCACAATAAACCTTTAATTGGTGTAACAGAGTTGAAGATCTGAGTATCTTAACCATAAATCTCCTGGTCCTGAAAATCCAATCTGTCATTTCAGGAGCTTCAGGAGGTGTACAATATGGTATACCAGCTAGGAGACTCTCTTCTCTATTAAATCACATTTCTGAAAGGGAATAAAGAAGGGGACTAGAGGAAGAGAGACAAGTGGAGTATCCCTAGGTACAATAATACATTTTGTCTTTGGTACCACCTCTCTGTCCTGCTGATGAGGTCTACAGGTTTAGGGGTGCTCAGACCTCAAGATTGTGACACGCGGGCCCTACCTGAATGACTTCAACCCAAATCTTCTTTCAGCCAGAGAAAAAGTTTATTAGAGATAAATCATATAGGGCCAGTGTTTCAATGGGGGCCAGGGTGGATCTTATATACGCTAAAGTTACTTTGGGTGACCAGGAAAGGGACTGGGAAAAGGGTCAAGGTGAGAATCCCAATTGGAATGTCTAAGAGATTGAATAGACAGTGTGAATAGATAATGAGAGGAACTGGAAGAAAGAAGTTTGAAAGGCATCTAAATAAGATCAAAACGTGGGGCTAGGGCTTTCAAAGGGAGAAGATCTCGGCTTGGGCCCATACCCCATCACTGCCTCCTGGAAGTGCCTCTAGAAGTAGAGCTAGAGCTTTTAATAAGGCTATTAATGCTATCAGAGTGTTCTGTGTTTAAATATAATTTTTAAAAAATGAAATGAGATGATCAAAAGTCTTGATTCTGGGTCTCTGCCCATACTTTCCTAAAGATTTAATGTTTCCATCTACGTGATTCCAAGTTACATGGTATTTTTTAGTGACCTATTGGCCCATAACTCAAATTCAACTATAGCAGACTATGACAGCTATCAAGATGATATCTCCTGTTCAAGGCATTTCAAATGCTGCGTAACAAAACTAATTCAATTTAATTAAACTTATTCATATTTTATAGCTCCACACACATCTTAGAGACTATGTTAAGCTTATGAAATGGCAGTCCTCCAAAAGATGCCATGGCTACTGGGTGAATCTGGTATCAGAGAGTCTGATGTAATTTAAAGAATCATTTTGCAGGAGTGAATCTGATGAATAGGCTCTCTGCCACAGATGGCCCTAAGCCAAATGTCAGTCTTTTAGATAGACACAAAGCCAAACCACTTTCTAATATCATCACTTTAGACTTCATTCAGTAATGCCTTTTGTCAGTGAGGAGCTTCTTGCCGCTGTCTACTGGTGCTGACCATTTTTCAAATATTTCTTTTTTCAGCTTCTAAGCAGTTTTATGTCAATACTACTTGCTCAGTTTTAATTGTTTTCCAAAGTAAACATAGTTAAAAAAACAAACTATAATGTTTATTTGGAATGGATTAGAGACTTTGAAATACATTATTTAGTATGTAGATATGAGGAACAACTATACTGTTACTATATATAAGATGAATCCCCTGAAACCAATCAATTAACAAGTATTTATTAAGCACATTATGCACCATGCATTATACTCTGTAGTGGGGATAGAAAGACAAAATTGAAACATTTCCTGCCCTTAAAGAGCTTACATACTTAAATGAACTCAATACCCAGAACAAAACATTAATCGGTAACATTTAGATTTTACACAAGCTAGATTTCAAGACAGCAAAAATACTACAGTCTCTATTTGGACCAATATTGTAAATGGCCTATACCTCATCCAAATTAGTAGGCAGAAAACTTTAAATGGTTTGGAGTGAACTGAACATCCTCCTCTATTCTCTCATTAATATTTAATTGCTCCTAGTTTATTGGCCACTTTCTTACTGCCTACGAATGGGCCCGAATCTCCCCATACTCAAAAACAAACAAAAAAATTAAAACAAAACATAAAAAACCCATTTGATTTGTCCATCCCTGCCAGCAATTGTCTCATATCTCTCTTCCATTTTGTGACTAAACTTGAGAAGGCCATCTAAAATAGGTGCTACCACTTTCTTTCCTCTCATTCCCTTAACTCTTCCCAGTCTGGTTTCTGACCTCATCATTCAACTAAAACTGCTCTCTCCAAAGTTACCACTGATCTCTAAATGAACAAATCTAATGGTCTTTTCTCAATCCTCATCCTTTTTCACCTTTTTGTAGATTTTGACACAGTTAATCATCCATTTTCCTTAATATTTTCTTCTCTCTGTTTTTGTTACACTGTTCTGAACTGGTTATCTTCCAATTTGAGTGTTCCTTTTCTGTTTCGTTTGGTGGATCTTCAACCAGATCACACCCTCCAAACACGTGTCCCACAGGGTTTTGTGCTGGCCCCTACCTCACATTAAGACACTGCCCTTCTCCTTGCCAAGGTTAATCCCTCTCCATGCACAAGGGATCCCATTCCACCTTGTCTGCTTCAAGAGACGGCCTCCTCTTTCATCTCCACTCTTTCGCTTATCTTTGATCTCTTCCTGTCCACTGATTGCATCCTTACTGCCCAGAAACATGTCCATGTCCGGTCTCCAACCCCTCACCCCTCTCACTCCAATGCTCAAAAATCTTGCCTGACTCAGCCATGTCTGCTGTTATCCGCTATCTCTCCTGTCTTTTGTGGCTAAACTTGAGCAAGGCTGTCTACAAGAGGAGCTTCTACTTCCTCTCTTCTTAACTCTTTACACAGTCTGGCATCTGACCTCATCATTCAACTGAAGCTGCTCTCATCAGAGTTACTAATTTTGGTCTACATGACTGACAAGTCCAATTCCCTTTTCTTAATTTTTGTACTTCTTGCTCTCCCTTCAGCCTTTGACACTGCTGGTCGCCCTTTTCTTCCTGATACTCCATTTTATAGTTGAGGAAACTAAGGCAAATAGAGTTTAAGTGGCTTGCCTAGGGTCACACAGCTAGTAAGTATCTGAGGGCAAATCTGAATTCAGGTCTTCCTGACTTCAGGCTCAGCACTCTGTGCACTATGGCTACCCCTAGTTGTCATTTCCACTCTTCTTATTATTCCTTGCACCTCACTACATGCTCTGTGATCCAGGGACACTAATTTAATTGCTGTTTCTTGAACAAGACAGCATAGCTCTTGACTCTGGACATTTTCCCTGGCTGTCCCCCGTGCCTTAAATGCTCTGCCTCCTCACTTCCACTTCCTGGCTTCCTTCCAGTTCAAGCCAAAATTCCACCTTCTACAGGAAGCCTTTCTCTCTCTCTCTTTTTTTAAAATAGTGTCTTATTTTTTTTTCTAATTACACGGAAAGATAGTTTTCAACATTCATTCTTTATAACATTTTGAATTGCAAATTTTTCTCCCTCTCTCCCTTCCTTTCTCCACTCCCCAGGACAGCAAACAATCTGATACAGGTTATACATGTGCAATCATGTTGAACGTATTTCAACATTAGTTATGTTGTGAAAGAAAAATCAGAACAAAAGGGAAAAACCACGAGAAAGAAAAAACAAAAAAAAGTGAAAATAGTATGCTTCAATCTGCATTCAGACTCCATAGTTCATTCTCTGGATGTGGACAGCATTTTCCATTATGAGTCTTGGAATTGTCTTTCCATCTCTATCCTTCTTAATGCTAGTGTCTTCCCTCTACTGGTTTCTTCCAATTTATCCTTTATATATCATGAATGTACCTAGTCATTTGCATGTTGTCTTCCTTATTAGAGCTCCTTGAGAATAGGGACATCTTTTTATTTTTTTTACTTTTCTTTGCATCCCCAACATTTAGCATAGTGCCTTGCACATAGTTGATACTTAATAAATTCCAGGTTACTACCTGACTACTCAAAACTTCTGAATTGCCCTTTGGAGGCTTTAAAATTTATTCAAATAAAAGGTCCTATGTAAAGGCCATTCTTAATGCCCCCAGGGCTGAGTAAATGTGAACTACTTTAATTGTTATTACCAAAAGCTACCTTCCTTTCTTATCCTCCTCACAACTATTTTGTACACTTCCCATTCCCTATCATTAAATCTCTTATTCCAACATCTTCAAAGGCAAACTCTTACCTACACCAAACTCTCACTCTCTTGACGGGTTACAGGTGATAAAGCAACCTTTAACAATTTTTCTGAGTTAACTAATAGTAAACATCACTAACTACTTAACATGGATTCAAAACTACTGTTTATTGTTATTTAAAATTATTGTTCAGGTAAAGCTGGATGGGTGGGCATGGAAAAAGGTGATGAAACTATGATTAAATTCCTATCATAATGCAAATGATTCCTTTACTCTCTGTTTAAAAAAAATTCACTTTGGGGACTTTAGCAATGGGTTGTTTATAACCAATCCCAAAGTATTTTCATTTCATTTTGTTTCTCACTCCCCATCAACTTTTCATTTCCTGCTAGGGCATGAAGCTGTTCCAGCTGGGGGCAAATCAACTGCAGAGACACTCTGGGCTAGTGCATGGGAGTTACAGAGGAGGCTTTAAAAGAGACAATCTTCAGGTTCAGCACAAAGAGAACTTCTCTGGGCTCTATAAAAGACAGTTGAAGAACTGAAAATGCTACCCAAAGGAAGGATTGTTTTGAGAGGGCTAACTTGGGAAGATGAAAGATTCATTGTTTTAAGAACCTGTGAAGTGTCTTTATCTTAAGGGTCTTCCTTGTGGAAACTTTTAAATAAATGTGTCCAACAAAATTCAAACACAATTGTACTTTATTTAGTAAGAAATAACTTTATTGCTTACCATCATCTGAAGAAAAAAAACAAACCACCACATTTTCTCAAGGTTGGTTCATTATAACACTTTATCTTTGGTAACATTAAGCCTATCAAAATTGACTATAACTTTGTCTAGTAGTACTTAGAAATGTCGGTATCTTTAGCAAGATTTGGATTTATAATAAAGTTTCAACAGAGTTTCACAACTCCAGAGAAAATGTGGGAAAAATAAAACTTCCCTATAAAAGACGTAACTCAGATAAATCTCATGCTGATTCAAAGACTTCAAAGTCCATCAAATACTTTACGAGGGAAAAGAGATCCTCACCTGGAGTTACAGATTTTGGCTACAGTCTGAAGACAAGGTCCTTTGGGTGTGGAATGTGTCCATGTATGGAACCCTTATGCCACTGGGTGCCCATGGAATCATGGTTATTAGAATTGAATAGAATTAACTTTGACTTTTGAGCAGATGCAGCACTAGCTCTTCATCCTCTGCCAAAGAAAGGCCTGTATCCAGTGGCTCCACAGTTTCCCACTTGGCCTTTTTTGGCTTATGACTTGAAAGCATCTCTTCTTTATCAGCATTTCTGTAGTTCCTTTTCCTCATTCCTCCCATCTTCCTTATTTCACTGTTGGAAACAAAAGCAATTATTATTTCAAACACCTGGCAAACAATCAGGACCATCATCACACTATCAAAAATTTATTTTAAACAAGGAAAATATGACTAGTAGGGTAATGGAGGAATTATAACAAAAGAAGATAAAATCAAAGGTCAAATTCAGCAAGCATTAATAAGAGCCTATTCAATCAATGAACAAGAATCTATTAGGCACTTACTATGTCCTGGGCACTATGCTAGGTGTTGGGATCACAAAGGCTTTATATATAAAGCACATAGTCCCTGCCCTCATGGAGCTTACATTCTACAGGGGGAGAGGGCATGCACACAGATAAGGATGCATGAAATATATGCACAATAAATGTAAAGTAATTTTGCATGAGATGCTACTCGGTACACAATAGTCTCCTGCCTCAAGTCCTTTTCCTCTCCTGTATATTCTCTATATAGCTCCAAAAGTGATAATCCCCTGTTTAAGAAATTTGAGTGGCACTCTGCTACTATACTCTAGGATCAATTACAGATTCCTGTTTGGAATTAAAAACCCTTCACAACTTTGTCCTAAAGTACCTTTAAAACCATGTTATATATTACTCCCCTTCATACACTCTTTGTTCCAGCCTAACCAACCTTCTGGATGTTCTTCATACATGACATTTCACCCCTTACCTTCATCCCTCTGCATAGGCTTTCCCTCATGCATGGAATGCATCTTCCTCATTTGGTCCACCTCTGAAACTCCCTAGTTCCCTTCAAAATTCAGTTCAGATACCACTCTCTAATGAAGCTTTCATGATTCTATTTCGCACTCATGCCATAGCTGCTAGTGCATCTCATGCAAAATTACTTTACATGTGTAATGAAGTGGTAGCTTTGTTGTCCACTATTCAGATCTGGGTGTGGCCCAGCACTTGGGGATGATGTTCCCAAGTGAGGAGACCTTGGGTGGTATACTAGGAAAGGAAGAAGTTCAGAAAGCAAATAGCAGTGGTATGGCTGAGACACCAGGAGCAGAGGAGGGTTTCAGTTCCAGCCTTACCTACACCATAGAAAAATAATCAGAGCAGGAATCCGGACTAAAGGGGAGTCTGCAATTCTATCACTTTGAACCAACAGAGCTTTCCAGCTGGCTGACAACTGCTGAGCCCAACAGAATTCTATTGCTGCTCAGACTGAAACCAGGTCAGAAACTTGCAGAGTTCAAATCGATCACATTTTGCCTTGGATAAGAGCACTGACAGCTTGCAAGCCAGTGCTCTTATCCAAGCCAAAATAACACAACACTCAATATCCCAAGAAAGCAACAACAGAATCGGCCCAGAACTTCCCTCCAGAAGCATGGCAGGGCCCAGCTCTAACATCAAGTCGAAGTCAGGAAGTAGGCTGAAGAATAAGCAAACAAAAAAGAATACCATCATAAAGATCAACTATGGTGGCAGGAAGCTCAAGACACAGACTCAGAAGAAGAGAATGGCCCTAAAACATCTATAAGCCAAGTCTTGGAGAAAAACAGCTTGGGCACAAATTCAAGTAGAATTCTTGGAAGAAATGAAACAAGTTTTTTTTTTTTTTAAGGGGTTAAAAATGACTTTATAAATGAAATGAGAGTGCTTGAGGAAAAACTGGAAAAGAAATGAAAAGTATGGAAGAAAAAATTGGAAAGGGAATTGACAGCTTGGCACAAGAGGTACAAAACCTCGCTCAAACAAAAAACTCCCTGAAAATTAGAATGGCCCAAACAGAAGGCACAACAAAAAATATTAAAACAAAGTCAAAAGGTTAAAAAAGTAGAAAATAATGTAAGACATCATGGCAAAAGGGTGGAAAACAGGTTGAAGAGAAAAAAATTAAGAATCACTGGACTATCTGAATTGCATGACAAAAAAAATAACAACCTAAACATCATATTTAAAAAAACAACTACCCTCTGTTAGAACCAGAGGGCAAAGTGTAGAATCTACCAGTGACCTCCCAAAAGAAACCCCCAAATGAAAACTCATAGCAACATCAGAATCAAGATCCAGAGCTTTCACATCATCCAGAAAGAAAGAATTCAACTACTGAGGAGCCACCGTCAGGATCACACACAATTAAGCAGCAACCATTACACAGAAGCAGAGAACTTGGAATACAATATTCTGGAAAGCAAAGGATATAGGTTTATAGCCAAGAACAACTAAAACAGAAAAATTAGCACAATGCTATGGGGTGTGGGGGTAGGGGAAGAGGGAGAATGGACCTTTAATGAAAGAGAAGACTTCTAAGAACTCCAGATGAAAAGACCAGACCTGAGAAGAAACTCTGAAGTTCGAACACAGGAGTTAAAAAAACATATCAAGATAAACATGAATAAACAGTGAAAAGGGATTAAATAAGGATAAACTGCTTACATACAAATAATACATATCTCCTCTGAACCTTAGCATCATCAAGGGTCACAGAAAGAGTCTAATTAGACAAAGCCATGGAGTGTCTTGTTATGTCCTGATGATCTTAAGAGAAGAATTGGAAAAATGCAGAAGGGGAATACATCAGTGAAGAGAGGTGGAAAGGAAAGGAAGGTTAGAGAACACTGTATCACATAATTAGCACACACCAGTAGGACATCTACACAGACAAGAAAAAAGAGCGGTGGGTAGAACCGTTGACACTTCAATCTCACTCTCATCTAACCCAGTGAAAAAAAGGAAACACACACACACACACACACGCTGTACACACACAACACACACACACAACTGAGTACAGAGAGACATTTCACTCAACTGGCTAACAGGAAGGAAAGGGGGAAGGAAGAATTAGAGGGAGAGTGGATTAAAGGATGGATTAGTCCTAACCAAAACAAACTCTAACCAAGGTCATGAAAGAATATTCATAGCTCTTTCTCAGGTGGCAAAGAATAGGAATCTAAATGGATGCTCATAAATTAGGGAAGGGCTTAACAAATTACAAATGTATATAAATATGATGGTATATAAATGTGATGGAGTACTGTTGTTACATAGGAAATGATGAAGGAGATGGTTTTGGAGAAACCTGGGAAACTTGTATGAATAAATGCAGAGTGAAATGAACAAGACAAAGAGAATAATTTATACATAAGCAGAAACAAACTATTTTGAAAGAATGAGGAAATCATATCAGCATAATGACCAACCACCATTCAAGAGGACTAATGATCAAAGATAGTACCCACTTCCTGACAAAAAAGTAAAAGACACAAAATGAGCCATTTTCTGGGGACATGATCAGTGTGGAAATTTGTTTTTGCTTAACTATACAAATATTTCCTAACAGGCTGTGTTTTTCTTTTGTTCTCAACTGAGGTGGGAAACGGGATGAGAAGGTAGATTTTTCATGACTGGAAAAAATACGTGCTTCAAAAAGAGAGAATCAGAAAACAACTAACTTAAAAACAACAAAGGAAAACTGCAACATGAAAACCTCTAAGGATCAAAAACAATATCCCTCGAACTGGTGTCACAAAGGCAATTAATGATCATTTACTATCAAGTAGTTTTTCAGATGCCAGTCCCAATTCAGTTGCCTAGGAGTAAAAGTCTGTATTTGTCTGACAAAATTAATCTTAACACCTCCTTTATAAAAGAACTTGAACAAAATATGACCACACAAAAATGTTAAAATAATTAGAGAAAAGAAAGTATTTCCTAGAAAGGACAGTTATTATTCCAAAGAATGTTTTGATATAATTTTGTCACTCTTCAAGAACTCAAGTAAGGAACTTCAAAGGAAAAATAAATATGCAATTAACCAATTCAGGCAACATTGTGTACACTGCCTTTGCCTCCATGACTGTCTCCAGTAACAAAGAAAGCTACTCACTTTGAGGTATTTTAGACTCAACATCTCTTCTTCTCAAAAGCATTTATTTGCATTGGGTGGAGGAGGGGAGGGGATTATTAGTAAGAGAATTTTTCAAGGAGTAGCCCTTTCTCTTCTAAAGGATTCTTGCCCATAGTAGTATATGTAGCGATTGCCAAGGAATGTTCAAATTCCCAAAGAACTGTGCTTATTTTGCACACTAGTAAGGTTATGCTTACGATTCTGCAAGCAAGGCTTTAGCAATATGTGAACTGAGAACTACCAGAAGAGCAGGCTGATTTTTGAAGAGGCAGAGGAACCAAAGTGCCAACATTCGCTGGATTATGGAGAAAGCAAGAGAGTTCCAGAAAAACATCTATTACTGCTTCATTTACTACACTAAAGCCTTTGCATCTGTGGATCACAACAAAAGTTCTCAAGAGATGGGAGTTCCAGATCATCTTATTTGCTTCCTAAGGAATCTGTATGCGGGTCAAGAAGCAATAGTTAGAACCAAACATGGAATTGGTTTAAGATTGGAGGCATATGACAAGGCTGTGCATTGCCATCTTATTTATGTAACTTACATACACAGTATGTGAAATGCCAGGCTGGATGAATCAAAAGCTGGAATTAGGTTTGCTAGGAGAAGTAGCAACAATCACAGCTATGCAGATGATACCACTCTGACGGCAGAAAGTGAAGAGGAATTAAGAAGTTTCTTGATGAGGCCAAAAGAGGAGAGTGTAAAAACTGGTTTGAAGTTTACCATCAAAAAAACTAACTTGGAAATTGATCCCATCACTTCCTGGCAAATCAAGGGAGAAAAAATGGAAGCAGTGTCAGATTTTACATTTTTTGGGCTCAAAGATCACTACATAGGGCGACTGCATCCATGAAATTAAAAGATGCTTGTTCCTTGGAAGGAAAGTTATGGCAAATCTAGACAACATACTAAAAAAGCAGAGACATCACCTTGCCAACAAAGGTCCATACAGTCAATCTATGGTTTTTCCAGTAGCATTGTATGGCTATGAGAGTTGGACTATAAGGAAAGCCGAGTGCCACAGAACTGACACTTTTGAATTGTAATACTGGAGAAGACTTTCCTTTGGAGTCCCTTGGACAGTAAGGGGATCAAATCAATCAATACTTAAAGAAATCAATTCACGCCATTCACTGGAA